AATCAACAAGAGAGAATTGCTTTTTTAGTTTAAAAATTTCCATGCATGGCCTGAGTTTCAACCCGAAGTGGGATTGGATTGGGCTATGGTTGAGGGGTGTTAGAGGGAAGGATTGGGCATGGCTTAAGAGACCCAAACTAAATCATTAGGGAAGGATTAGGGCTTGTTGGAGAAATGGGTTAAGGGGACACAGGCACTGGCGGATCTACAGAGGAACAAGGATAGCACATGCTACCCCTGAAAGAAAAAAAAAACAACCTTTTCGTCAAAATAAGCATCAGGAAAATACAATACAAAAATAGTTGTTTGACTCCTAAATTAACATTGTCAGTGTTGCCTTGGTGGTTTGATATGTGAGAAGAAGCCTTTAATTGTTTTAGGGGTCCAGAGTTCGACTCCCCTAATGTTTTTTTTTTAATTCTATTTTTTTGGGCTTTATGTCTAAAAAAAGATTGCTTACTGTAGGGCTAGGCTTATGTAGCTCTTTATTTTCATTTTACATACAGTTTTACCCACTTTAACTTGGTTTAATTTGAAAATACTCCCTCCATTAACAAACTTTATATTTGGACTACTTCCTCTAGCTATTAATTGAAATTCATCCCATTAATTTATGAGTAATATGTTTACTAATGCTTTACTATGACAATTATTTAGTTTTATCTATTAGTAAACAAAATTTATTCAATATTTAAATGTACTATATAAAAAATCTTATGTGATAATCTTTTTTCTTAAATACAACACAAAAGTTGATTGTAGTATTTTGATATATAAATTATTTTGTAAGAAATTAAATTCCATATTTAAAAAAAAATAAAAAATTCCATAGATAATTTAAAATATAATGGTTAAAAATTACTTCTACTCGATAATGTCAATGAAACGTTGATAATTGAAAATTAACGTTGAGACAATTATAACAAGCTAAATATCCATATCTATATGTTTAATCGTACGTGTAAAACACCAATATTAGTCAAAGTGATGTATGTGATAGTAAAAAAGTCAAAATGGGACACTTTATAAAAACGAAAGTAATATACTTATAAAAAATACATTATATAAAAAATTAACCTAGTTTGTTCGACTGAATTTTTTTTTTAAAGATCCAGTGCTACCCCTGACTTAAAATCCTGGATCCCCCATTAGACACAGGCAGGGAGAGAGTGTCGTAGCACACTTGTTAGCTTTGGTCATCATGGTGTGGGCAGCCCAAGGCCCAAGGGAGAGGGTTGGGTCATGGCAGGAGTAGTGTTGTAATACCCCGTATTTCTAATGTATTTTTATATATTATTTATTTAATTATAAAATATAATTTTGGGTCAAATTATTTTTATTATGGGATGTAAATAATACAAGGTTTAATTTTTGGGTTAATAAGTATTCAATCTGAATATAGTCCATCTTCATAATAAACCAATCATTCTATTTTTACATTTGGGCTACCTATTCTATTATTCAAGTCCACAATTTTTATAAAGCCCAAACCTACCTAAACAGCCCTACACTATAAATACTCATTCAATCTCCAAAATTTTGCCACCTAAAAGGTCAAATGGTAAGGTAAGCTATTTTCCCTTTTTCTTTCTTTTCTTTTTTTTCTTTTTTTCCTTTCTTTTTCTTTTTCCTCCTTTCTTTTCTTATTTTTCTTTCTCTTCTTATTTTTCCTCTTGTTTTCACGAGGAGTTCTCACAAGGAGAACTTGGTGATGGCGGCTGCCTCACCGGAACCACCGTCAGCAACCTGCCAACCAGCGACCCACCGCCGACAACCTGCCAACCAGCGACCCACAACTGGCAACCCACCAGCCGGCGACCACCTCTACCACCGTGGCTGCCCCTCCCTCTCTCTCTCTCCTTAGTTTTATTTTATTTATGCTTGTTAAATTGGTTGGGTTTAATTTTTATTGTTTGAAATCGATTAAATTAGTTTCAAAACTATGTTTTGATGTTTTAAACTAATATTTTCAGATTATTAATGTTGGTATAATTTTCAGATTTTATAATTTTAAAACCTAGGGTTTCAATTTATTTAAATTGGGATTTTGGGGATTCTTATGACTAATTAAATTAGGGATTTTGTTCCTATTTCATTTCTATTGATTGATTAAGCATAAAAGTGATGTTTTGAAGATTAAATATTGTAAATTTTAAATAATAAAGTGTTTAATTTTCAGATTTTATAAAGTATTAAATTAATTTGGGGGTTTTTAATATCCATTGATTTTGATTAATTAACCCAGTATAAAGATATGATTTTGATGATTTTTTAAAGAGTTTTTAACAAAGTAATGTTTTTGGAATTTTATTTAAAGTAGTAGAATTATGATTTTATTGAAAGGGTTTAATTACCTATTAAAGAAAAGTTTAATTAGGGGTTTAAAAATAATTTTCAGATTATTTTAAGTAGTCCAAAGTGAATTTAAGTTGCTGAAAATTGTGTATACAAGGGTAATTAATATAGTATTATTGTCCCTTTATGTAGGAGACTTGAATCGGGAATTGTTGTAGGGTAATCGGCTACTTTAAGGGCTTATTTGAGGTACGTTCGCATACTTAGCATAATTATATTGATGTAGTAGCATGCTAGTTTTGGAATGGAAATTATGATTTGGATATTATTGGTGATTGGATTATGAAACATGATTTATTTGTGATGGATTATTTAATGGAAAATAATAGTTTGGAAAATTATTTATGAACCACATATTTATTTGTGGTATGTTAGAGAGCATGTTTAATTAAACTAAATGTTTAATTTGGTTTGGAATATTGAAAAGAAATTTTATTATGGTTCATATAATTTTTATTGATGTTATAAGCATGAAGAAAGAGCTATATAAGTGTCTATGTATACAAGGAATAAATTGTATGTTGGTTCCTTAGTGCACTTAAGGTGTTTTTAACACCAAGGGATTGGATTATATTTGTGGCGCTTTATGCGTTTAAGGTGTCATTGGCACCGAGGTAGAATTAAATTAAAAAGGAAACATGAAATATTATGTGGTTACTAATTATTTAAGAATTAAATTGGTATATTTGATTGATTGAATAATTATCGTTGATTGAATGATTATGGTTTGAGAGTCATCACCAAATTTAATAATCTGTAAATAACGTAAAGTGAAAGAGATTACGCACCAAAACTCTTGGAACATATATACCTTGAGTATAAACATATGGGGGGAGTTATGTGACTTTATATTTGATCATAACTTCTACTGGAATACAAGACACTGTACATTCCTTTTATTATTATTATGCGCAGGAATTCCGCCACCTATGAGTGGTTTTAATGTTAGCACGGTTAGCTCCCGTGTTAGTAATCACATTTATTAGGGGAGGTTGAGGGGGAAATTCGTTCGATGCGTAATCAACGCTAAATAAATTATGTAGTTGTCTAGTTGAGAACACTAGTAGAAAAAGGCTTATTTGCGTCGCTCATTTATAGTGTATTTGCGTCGCTTCTATGAGCGACGCAACTGCTCGCGACGCAAATGACTTTTAAGTCATTTGCGTCGCTCCTAGGTGCGACGCAAATAAGAGTCATTTGCGTCGCTCCTTTGACGCAAATAACTTTTTTGATAAACTTATTTTTTGTCATTTGCGTCGCTCCTTTATAAATAAGCGACGCAAATGACTCTTCTTATAACCTTATTTTTTGTTATTTGCGTCACTCTTTAATAAAGGAGCGACGCAAATAACTCTTCTGATAAACTTATTTTTTGTTATTTGCGTCACTCTTTTATAAAGGAGCGACGCAAATAACTCTTCAAATAAACTTATTTTTTGTTATTTGCGTCACTCGTTTATAAAAGAGCGACGCAAATGACTTTTCTGATAAATATTTTTAGTTATGTGCGTCGCTCATTTATTAACAAGCGACGCAAATGACTCTTAAGATAAACTTTTTTGTTATTTGCGTCGCTCCTTTATAAACAAGCGACGCAAATAACTCTTCCAATAAACTTATGTTTTGTTATTTGCGTCACTTGTTTATATAGGAGTGACGCAAATGACTGAGTAGACAATACAAAATTGTTGTATTTGCGTCACTTGTTTTTTTAATGAGTGACACAAATGAGGTGAATTTTTTTTTTTAATTATAATATAATAATTGCCTTGTATATTTTTGTAGTACCTGTTTTCCTAGGTATAAAGTAATATGGTAACGCTAACATAATTGAAATTAAAATGCAATATTATTGAATAATGCAAATGTAAATTTCGGCAGAGTCTCCTTTGTAATTTGGCCTACACATAAAATTGGGAATGACGGCATTATATTAACAACCTGTCCAATAATTTACATCTCAATATCATAGACATTATACTCATCATCTCAACACCAATTAACCAAATTACGTCATTTCAAGCCTATAATCCAAAACAAGAATCAAACATGAGCTAAGTGGTAAATTTAAAGTTCAACATTACATATAAAATACTCTGCCCAAATATCTCGGATTTCATTTATCTCCTCCTCGGTGTACGGTGTAGTTCTTGAAAAATCCTATCAACACAACAAATATACAAGAGGAAAGTTTTAATTCAAGATTGTAGCTAACATCAAATTGTATTTATCAAACAAAAATGAAATATTTCACAACTCATACCTGAATAAGATCTTCACTGCTATGGTGATGTAATATATTTGTAAGTTGAATTAAATTGCTATACTTCAATTATTAAGAAACTAAAAGTTAGGGTAAGAAATTAAGGTAACCTGTCCCAAATGCCATGTCAATTTACTTCCCCTAGATTGTCCACTTAATGCCTTAAAACTTCGAAAAGCACTACACATTTGAAACCGGGGCCTATTCAAGACTTACTCCTAATGAGTAAGCCCTGAACGGGTATCTAAGCCAATGATGCAAGTATTATTGCAATTCCAATCAATTATATCACAATTAAAAATCTCATACAATTCACAATCATTATACCAATTAACTAGAACAAATTGGTTAATATTGCAAAGAATGGTTCAGATATATATACCACAAGTGAAGACAATCTCGTATGCGTACTACCGCCTTAATCGTTTGTCCACAACCAGAACCTTGAGCAACTTGTGGAATTCACTTCCGCATAATTAAGAATCTGCCATAAAAAATTACATATATTAAACCAACATAGTTGATTCAACTTAATCTACCATGTGACATAAAAGTTTTTATTCGGCATTGCTTATTAGCCAATCATGGTGTAAAACTTGAAGACCTGAAACGAGTGTTAAATGCTAGGTCCAACTTAATCTGCCATGTGAAATAAATGCTAGTTGTTATTTTGAAATTTTTTTTTAATTAAGGGTTGAACAAGGTGGTTGTTTAATGGATGGGATATTGATTTACAGTTTTTTTAACTTGATGACTGATTGAAGGTCACCTTAGCTAGGTCCAACGGATGGGAAGTACCTTTTTGTCGCCTAAAGTATGTGAAATTTTCAGTCCAATGAATTAACAACCTTATAACAGCTGCAAAGCTAATGTTTTATTACCATCAAAGTTAAAAACAACCTCTTTATACTTGAAAGTATCTCTTGACATTACCCAGTGGGCTGTGGCATTCTCATAACACAACAGATATAAGAAGACAACATACCAATGATCCAATAGCAACCAGGGCACGAAATTTTGAATCTAGATCAATACTCTCTGCTTCAGCAATCTGCAACCAGAGAATAAATCAAACTTTTTACTCAGCAAATAAAACTATAAAAGTAGCCCTTCTGCATTATTATACTTAAACAATTTGTAAGCTCAATCCAGGAGCATCGCAAATACTCCTCGATTTTAATTATCTTTTAAGTTTTCCAAATAGATTTAGTAATTGTTGGCCACTGTATTCAATCAAAATTTATTAATATATTCCTACATTCTCAAACATAAATGCAAAATGATCCCATTGAACAGTTGAATCTGAGCAAGCATTATAAGATTGCTATAGTTTTAATTGCATCAACACATAAGACAGAAACTTAATACAAAGGGAAGTTGAAAGGAACCAGAGGATTTTAGTATTTTACCTCAAGTGCAGCTGATAATACTTGTAATTTCCCTTCTTCATTTCTCTTTTCAATCAAGAGCACAGCAAAGCTAATACAATTACAATGGTCAGGCAACAAGATTTCATAGTATCACCACAGAAAATTGAACTTGAAGTGAACTCGCAATATATATTATAAAATTCAAATTTTATAAAACCATTGGACATGCATCAGCGAGTCCCAAAAAACACATATATAAACAAACATATTCGCCAAATGATCTGGATATCATAGTCCAACTTAAAATAATCTGAAATTCAATATGGATCATAAGTTTTCTGTATATTGTAAACAAAATATTTGACTGGTGTACTTAGTTTGACAAACATCATGTGTTGCCACGTAACGCGGCACAAGCAGCCAAATCAATCAATAGAAATACCACTTCGTAATCGTCTATTGTCTCCCTATGCAGTATTCGAGATCGGTGCCATAGATAAACCCAAACATACTTCACATGAGATTTTCCATACTTCTCCGATGCGAACAAAAAGAAAACAATTATCAAATACTCACCGACTCCAATCACCAAATTAATAGTCATGTTGATAGCGTAATTGGACTATATGCTCATAAGTCATGACAACCAAATCTGATCATCCGGACAAAGGGAGTAAATGTAAAAACTGCTAGAACTTAAAAGCAGTCAATTCAGATAGACAAAAACTTCAATTTTACTTCTAAATGACTTCACCTAGATTATTTATTTATTTATTTATTTATTTTATTAAATATCACTTACTTTTAAATATTATTCACATTGAAAAAACAAGTAAAATATTTTTTTTTTTGGTGTAATTTGGAGTGTAACATTATCATAAATATGGGAAATATAATTAACACTGATCACAAATTTCAGAATCCATACACATTTCTATAAGAATGCAATTATGCATCACGAATGGACTGTCTGACTGTCACTCCTGTATCGCGTTTTTCTATCTTCTCTGTTCATATATCTTCTGCACCACTGCAACACTTCATATGCAACTTTGCTCTTTAACAAAATCTCAATAGTAGTCCTATGCTTTATATAAGAATTTCCATGAATGTATGTTATCCTCAGAGAATGTGTTATAATGTAATTACAGATTTTCCCAACCAGGTATATTGGCTGTGGCTTCATTCACCATATTTATTAATCTTACCCAAACAAGTAAAATATTACAATCCAGAAAATACTTCATAGACCGAGTAATCAATATTAAAAAAAACACATATAAAAAACATCATTGAAGTTTTAAAGCTAATTAATTAATTTAACTCAATTTAAGAAATTCAGGTAAAATTCCAGAAATAGTTGAGTTTATACCTGTAAATCCAAAACTTTCCAATTGAATTACTGTAGTAACCGTCAAAATTTCGCTCAAAATTTCTAGGACTCCAAAGAAAAACACGAATCAGGATTCCAGAAAGCACAAATCAAATGAATCTTAAAAAAGGAATTTTTTGGGGTTTCTGGGTTCGAATTCGTATGCTTTTGAGTTGATTTTTGCTCGAAATGGGGGATTTTTGGTCGGAAACAATCAATTTTTCTGGGTTTAAGGGTTCGAATTTCTTAGGGGTTTTGGTCTAAATTTTTGCTCGAAATTGCTCGGATTTGCTTCAACTTGACTGCAATTTTAATTTAGATGTTAAATTTGCTGGGAATCGCAGTTTTTTGGCCTAATTTCTTGGATTTCAGAGACGAATTCGTGGGTGTTTTGCTGTAGCAATTCACTGGAATTGAAGAACTCTTGTTTTTTTTTCTTTTTGTTTAGTGAATGTAGGCGTATGTGATGAAAAACTAAGGTAAAAAAACGCAGAAAACCTAAAGCCAAAAGAGTTATTTGCGTCACTTTATTATAAAAAAGCGACGCAAATAACCTTGTTTATGATATTGTAAACAGCTCATATGCGTCGCTCATGTAGTAAAAGCGTGACGCAAATTACTTAATCACTTATTTGCGTCGCTTGTTAACAAATGAGTGACGCAAATAAGTTTATTAATTGCGTCGCTTTAATAAATAAGAGCGACGCAAATGAGAGAAAGCTGAAATGCACTTGAGTTTTGCGTCGCTTCTTGAATAACACGCGACGCAAATAACTTAACAGGATGGTAAAAATAAACATTTGCTTCACTCCTTAGAATGAGTGACGCAAATATGGCGACGCAAATGTACATTTTTCTACTAGTGGAAGTTTTGTTGAATGTTATATGCTTGAAAAACAGATTTAACAAGATAAGTTGTGTGTTGATAGGTAAATGCATGTATGTTAGTAAATTACGCTTATGTACTCAGCCTTGCTGATTGTGTGTTTTGTGTGTTTGTTGGCCTTGTCTTTACCTTGGCCCTATGATGACCCATTTTTAATGGAGAGTATTGGAAACGAGTAAAGAGATACGTTTCAGGTGATGAAGCATATTCATGAATGGGCATGAGTGAAGAGCAAATCATGCTAGTTTCCATAAGTATATGATGTGTTTAATGTTTTAATTTTTTAATGATATTATTATTATTATGCATGACTAATGCAAAAGTTTTGAAGTTGGTTTTGTTTTAATAAGGGCCTACAATGGTCCAAGTTGTAGGATGGTTTTATTTTACTTTGTTTGACTTTGGTTTTTGACTTTACTTTCGTTGGTTGACTTTTTGAGTTGACTTGTTTTGAATGGTTTTGAAATTAGTCTTCCCCTATATGTCTTTGATAGTTTCCTTAGCCGTTTTCACGGTGGCGGTAATACCTTAGATATTCTTATTTAAAGTTTTAAATAGGGCAAAACAGGTATTTTAAAATAGAGGAATTTCTAGGGTGTTACAAGTAGGGATGACAATTTAATCCGAGTTCGATTCGAATCCGATTTGATCCGAAGGAAAAAATCCGATTCGAACCCGTTTAAAATTAGTCCGAATTCAAATTCGATAAAATAGATCCGAATCCGAATAGGAGGTGGATCGGACTTGGACCCTACGCAAAGTCCGACGGAGTTCGATCCGAGTCCGAATCCGAGAGTATAAGCATAAGCTCTATAACTTTGGACAATTATTTGCTTGTTTTGTAGCAAAATTTTGTTATGTAACTTAGTTTATAATTTAAATATGTTATATTTATACTTTAATTGGTCTGACAATACAAGCAATTATAGGTATATGACATTACAAAAAATAAAAATAAAAAAAAATATTCGGATCATTTCGAAGGTCCGTATAAACAGACCGGATTCGGATCCGAAAATTACGAGTCGGATCGGATACGGACTCGGATTTTTCGGATTCGAACTCGGATTCAAATCTAAGTCCAGGGTTTGTTTACTAAACGGATCGGATTCGGATTTCGCCACATCCGACCCGAATCCGATCTGTTGCCATTCCTAGTTACAAGTAATTTGAGTGGGATGATGATAAAGGAGAAGGGGAGAATCATATTGGTGTGGTCAGAGTAGAGAAAATAGTAGTTTGACTCACGAAATCATTAACACATCAGTGAAAGGCATAATGAAGGCTAGGGCTAAGAGACGAGGATCGGATTAAGGGTTCTTAGAAGAAAAAGAAAGGTTGTGATACCATGTCGAAATGTGTAAATCTCCTTCGAGTGGAGTATTCTCATTACGACAATATATATAGGTGATTATTTACAACCTTCACAATAATAATACAGAATACAAAAGTAATAATAATCATATTCACTAAACACATACTATCTCCGGTCCAAATTACTCGCAACTTTGGAATATTTTATATCTCACAAATAATACCCCAAAGTTGCGAGTAATTTTGACCGGAGGTAGTTATCGTATCCATAGTCACATCATCCCATGCGCATGACTCCCGATTTCCCATGTTAGATAAATGTTTAAAAAGTTATGTATGCATAAAAGAATTAAAATTATAACTTAATAGATATTAATAAGGAAATTTTTCCGAATAACTACCAATTAAAACACGTATTTTGAAAAAAATTACCAATTGATTTTATTATTTTTTTTTTCAAAAAAAAAAGAAATAACTCAAAAAAGAGCTAACACAAAGTTGTAAAAACTTTAGAAAGCACTATCACTTTAACAATTTCGGCTAGAATCTTCAGTATTAGGGTCTCATTTTTTTTTTTTTTTACCTCTTTTTACCTTTATGAAAGGCAATATAATCAATTAGATGGTTGTTCTATGGGCAAAGGTAAAAAGTAGAACCTACATGCCGAATATTCTAGGCGGAAGTGTTAGAGTGATAGTGTTAGCTACTTAAACTTTTTTCAACTTTGTGGTAGCTCTTTAAATATGGAAAAATTAATAAGTAGTTGCTTCCAAAATACGTGCTTTAATTGGTAGTTCTAAACAAATTTTCCTTTTAATAATGAAGTGACTTCCTTATTTTTTTCATACAATATTACTTGTACTAGAAATGAAGGGGTTACACAGATGGAGAAACATAACATGATAAAAGTATGAAACCATACCTTTATAAGATAACAGTAACAAAATTACAAAAAGCATCATTTTTTACTGTAATACCCAGTTCGCCCAGTGAGTTAATCTAGATTTGGGGATCAGTTATGGGTAGTTAGGTTCCAGTATTCTCTCAATTGTAGTTACACGGATCCTCCCTACCAAATGCAATCTCAATCACCAACAATCAATTGTTACAAATAGCATCATATAACTCCTATTATTATTTGATATATATATATATATATATATATATATATATATATATATATATATAAACCTTTCAAATTTTGCATGTTTCAACAAGGTTCGTAACATGGATATGGCTGATTTGGATCTGAATAAGTAGGTCCTGATTCAAAAGGTGGATCATTGTAGCCACCCCCATTGGTTTGCATCACAGACTCTGCAAAACATTAAATCATATTAAAAATCTATGACTAATATATAAAGCTAAACTTTTAGTCAGGTCATGAGACAGCGACACTTGGCAATCCAACTTTTCGCCAAGTGTCGTGCCACGTTGGATGGATTTAAATAAAATTCATAAGATAAAAAAGTTAATTTAGAATTCTATTTAGATAG